ATCCGCCAGAGCCGGAAGATGAATCTCCAGAGAACACAAGCCAAAAGAGGACAAAAGAGGACACTCAGGGAGAAAGAGACAATCGAGAAGCCTATGGACCACACCGGGTAAACGATGCAAACTTGCAATCCATAGGTAATTGGCAACCACTCGAGCGTTCGCTTAGAACAGTACCTAAAATGGTGAAAGGATGACAATCAAAAAGTCAGGGTTAAAGGCTGTATCTCCTTGAACTCCAATCATCTGAATACTGTCGAAAACGGGAAGAAATGATCCTCGTTAATCAAATACCAAATCAACCTAACCATTCGTGTCGTACTCTACTGCCGCTATCCAGGAGTGATCACCTCAGGGGACATCCATTTATGCTTTTGCTCCAAAAGACCCGGCTTTGCTGCAAGCGTCACTCTTACAGCCTCACCGTTTGTAATACCTGGGACTTCATTCCACATCAAGTTATTTGTGTTTCAACCATCGATTTATTCAAGTTACGGCTCAATGAAGCATTGCAACATCTAACTGTTCAGCACTCTTTATTGACTATTGTAATTTTCTTTAGATGGTCAATATTTGGATTAGCCCATTCGGTTCTTCACAGACACAGGTACTATCAGCCGAACCCTATGTGTAGATATCCTATGGGATTCAGGAAGCACGGGCTTTGTAATTTAACCATCAAAATTTGAAGTTTGAATTCCGAGCTATTCCCTGAGAAAAACGTGCCCTTCGAGCAAATGTTTTGGGTGACACAGTGGGATTCACAGATTGTTACGAGAATATCCACCAGAACAACACCGATTCAAACCTCTGATGAATCTCGCAGTAAGGAAAGACCAAGATCATCTACGTTCAAATATGATATACCTTCAATTTTTGGTCACAATTCATTCCTAATTGTGCCTCAAGAGCACCATCTATGTGTAGTATACAATGCGCTGAGAAATGAATGTGGACCTTTAATTGTGAAAGAACCCTTCAGTATTTAGTACGGAACATCACAGAAGGTTCACTTCCGGTATTTTTGCCCCATTGAAAAATACAATCAACGTGGGTACTCATACTAAATTCAAACCAGGAGGGTTTTCGGTAATGTTTTTTCTCCAGGCTGCCTATTTTCGCGAAACAGGATAATCAGGGGACTGGGAGCGAATCGCCAGGACTGATCTGTACTGTCCAGATGATCCAAAGGCATTTATTTAAACACGAATGTGACCGACTGCTAAGCACTCCAATTCCTAGTCAACTGGAAAAGTTCTATCGTTAAATCAACAGCGGCCATGACGTAGCACAGGATTACGATATTAGTCATAGCGCGGAAATGAAATAACATGGATGGAGAGGATTCCAAGGCAACTTTACGAACGTTAACGACTAGAAGCTTCACATTGTGAAGCATGTCAGAAACACAAAGGAATATGCAATGATCAAGACAATGCCGTTTCACGGGCGAAACTGAACAATATCAAAAAAACATCCAACCTCATGTCAACAAAGCGATTAGTGGGATTCCGTTCGCTACTGTTCAGTTTATGAAGTATGTCTGCCATAAATGTCGAAACCGAGGCAACATCATTATCCGACCAACCAGAACGCAGGGAAGAGACCGCCAAACAAACCGGAAAACTTTGTCATGAAATAAAGTCGAGCCCTCAATCTCATTCCACCAAAGTCACATTTAAAACAGCTTATAATCCCGAGGGAAAGAATGCAACCGTTGAGGTAAAATACATACCAGTGTGACTTCAAGTGAATACAACGTCTGATACAACTATTGCGCAAAAAATTCCAACCATGATCGGACAACGCCTGATGAGTTCGCCAAACAAAATGCACCTGGACTTGTTGGGCAAACCAATACCGCTCATAAAGAAGTTAAATGCGATGTGTCATTCAACGCACAATAACTAGCATGCATTTATAACTAAACAGTGTTCTAAACCTGAACTTCCTCGAGCAGCAAGTGAAATGTATAGCTGGCGCTGATTGACGAATAATTAAAAAATGCGTGTGACAACCTTCAAAGGTTGAAAGCTTATTCGAAACCAACTCCACCGAATGTAATGCTAACCTACATTGGAAAAAGGTAAGGAAACTGCTTAGGTTCAACTGTGTGATATAAACCGCATAAGTTTATCAATCCAAATGGGAATCGGACCGCGAGCATCACACGAAAGCACGAGAGAACACTACATCCTCGGTAACTGGGTAGATATTCAAATCAATTATTTCAATTTTTCCATTTACACAATGTAGCAAAACCTGACATTGTGAGCTCAATCCACGCAGACCTCACACCTCCAGAATCTCCACCAATCTCAGGTTTCGATTATTTCCAACCAACTATTATACATGATGGTCGGTACCCAGATGCGCAGAATGTAATGAATGCATTGAACTAGCAAAATGGATTGCGCTATAATATTTTTGTGGGGAATGAAAAACACTCTGGGCCAATAAGTAGTATGCTAGCGTTTTACCTACGAAGTCAGGGGTTCGATCCTCAATAAGGTTGATGGATTCAAATGCTATTGAGAAACAAACACGACAAAACCAATTTGTCAGACCAAAGAAGCTCAACCATAATCCCCCTAACAAAAATGGAAAATCCATCATCGGAGAAGGCGGTTGCGGAGTCACCAGTGTAGCTCAGTGTTCACCAAAGGACATCGATGACGTTGACCCCATCCAAAAAATGGCTAAAACCACGAGTATTTACACAGAGTGTTCCTATCATCCAATTGACAGGCATTCAACTGTATTGGTAGTTCAAATCACACTAATGGTTTATGTACACTAAACAGAATTGCACAACATAAAAAGGACATAACTACTGATGAATAACTTCCAGATTCGTGTGTGCATCACACATAATTTCAAATCAGTGGATAACCACAAACATCGTCCATTTGTTTGCCGCAAGTAGTTTTAATCCTCTGTCTCGTAACAGTGATCGTGTGAAATGGCGTTTGTAAAGCATTGTTCCCGTCAACTAGCGACGGAGTTACGTTACATTTCACAAACAGAAGTCAGTGGGGATAAACACAAATCATATAAACATCGGCGCATTGCATGAGCTGTCTGCTACCTCTCAAGTATCATCCCAAATTCCCCACTTCATCAGTTCTCATTATACACTACGTACGTTGAGGGTAACGTTATAGATTGAAAGTATTTTACGAAGGAAGCGATTCTCCGGACAAAATTGATCAACTTTGGCTTTCCGAGATGATTTAACATTGTAACATTCAATGAGGTCATGACTGATAGTCGTTGCACTGGTTCTAATACCCACCGAGCATAACCAACGTATCGACCCGTTTAACTGAGCATCTGTAAGAAAAAAAGCTACGCGTTTACGTTCGATACCGGTCGAAACGACAAAACGCTTTCATCGTAGTGAGAACCTATAGGATATCCGATTCTCCAAACCCAAATGCAACCAACTTTGGAGGAATACAAGTAAGGAAATTATCTGACTGAACAAGCCGGATGAGAAGAATTCACGTCCAGTTAATAGGATTGTAGCAATCTTTGGCAGAACATGTGTTGTGTGATGATATAAGACACTCTCGAGCAATGTGAAAAACGACACTGGAAAGAGTTGGTCGAAACCTGCAATGCCTGATGTGAAATAACAGACTGGACGACAGGGAACAAAGCTCAGTGCATGACAAATTGTCGATCTAAACAGTTATGTGAAAACAAATGCAATAAAACCCATCCAGTATTTATAACCAGATACGACGAATATTGTTACAATGAGAATGTATTGTGATGTGGCAAACAATGGTCCATGAAATCACACAGACGATTGGGCAAAACCCGAACGCAATGGTACGTAATCACAAGTGCTTATATTTGACAAACTCATAGGTTCCGTAGCCGCCGAATATTGAACGCCACGCACCACCCTTCAGTTGTCAGTGTATAAACCCCCCTACGACATAGATGACAAGATTGTTTTAACGTGATTGGTTTATCAGAAAAGGTGAGTAGAGAATATGTGGAGCTCCTATAACTCATAGTCCTTATTTACACGTGCACATTTCCCATGTATTCTCTGTAAAACGACAACAACAACAACAACAACGCTGTCTCTCTCTGTCTGACTGTGGTTGTGTTTTCATGGATGCGGAATTAATCGTACGATGTATCAATGGAATTCTCGGAGGACTCGGGACAGTCACCAATTCCTTGGTTTTCGTTCTACTGCTCAAACATAAATTGGGCTCTCACCTGACAAACGTTCTGTTCCGAAGTCAGCGCATTTATGATTGTTTTTCCTGTTTCATCATGTTCCTGGTTCAACTCATCGGAAATAATTTTTACACCTCGAGCAGTCTCCTCAATGGGATTCTATGTAGCATTTGGTCTCAGGAAAATCTATTCTGGCCTGGACCCATCTTGGCCGCGAGTAATCTGGTCTGTCTCTCACTAGATCGTGTACTGGCCGTCTTCAAACCGGTATTTTATCGACAAAATCAAAAGCGTCTCATCATTGCCAGTTTAACGTATAATATTGTCAACATTCTGATACTTTTCACACCGCGAATTCTACATCGTCGCTTCGTGAACGGCACGTGTTTATTTTCCATGGAAGCAGGGAACGACCCTTTTAGTATTATAAGTTCAGTTCACTCCTACCTGACTTTGGTTTTTGCCTACCTTTTACCTAGCACCTGTCTGATAGTTTCGCATGCCCTGATTATATACAAAATCAAAAATCTATTTTCCAGGCGCACAAAATCTTCACCGGAAACGTCATCCTCCGAACGTGATACCGTTTCAGCTTTACCCCGATCAGATGACCAGAGGGCATTGCGATTGAGGCGTGCAATCATTGAGTTGATCATAACTACGGTTGTGGTGAGTTCGCTCTATTTGAGTTGTTACGCATTCGACTTGATCACCTATGTTCTGGGCACCTCGGGTCAATTGGACTACATTGGCAACCAAATTCGACGACAAGTGGGGTTAGGATTGATCGTGCTATGCGCCTGTATCAGTCCATGTGCAGTCGTGTGCACGACCAGACACCTGCGACTTCATGTGATCAATATTATTGGTCATCAGAAGCGAGAATACTCGACCACACTGCAATCTGATACGCAGTCCGAATCTGGTGCAGCAGCGAAACAGGCGGACTAGACCGACTGACTACGAGGCCCGAATGGATACATTGAGTAAACCATTGACTATGTGTGAGATGTACTTTGCTGCTATAATGGCTAGGTTTTGTTCACTGTGAATGAATTATCCACTGTTCTTTGTTTGCATTCTTTTATGACTGAATAAACGTACTGTCCATTTGGACAAATTGATGTACCTCACTTCTCTTATCATTACATTCTGCATCGAGCTCATTTTTGTTCTATTTCTATTCGGGCGGGGGGTGCGGTGGCAAGTAATCCGATTTAGTGCATGAAATTTGAAAAATATCGGTTACTACAGAGAATAACTGCAGCAATACGTCTTATTCAAATCGACTTGGCAAAGTTTATTTCACGCTTCTCCCGAATCTCTAAATCACTGAATGTAACAATCAGTTAAGCTCCTCCAAAACATACCTTCCATGACTTTGGCAAAATAATCCCCGTTCTCGCAGGCAAGCTACGATTATGATGTTTCCTAGAATTATAAGAAAGTTGATCAAATTGTGTTTCAGTTAATGTAGAATAAATGATGTACAACAATGTTCGATTGATTCGAATTATTCCTGCGTCAACCATGTATGACTACGTGACACAACGTGATTTCGCACACGATCATCGAGTTAACGCCAGGAAAGTTGACAGGTAGTATATATATTTCATGTTTCTTTGAAAACCAGGCAAACATTTCGCCTCGTGATATCCGTTCCAAATTCCGACCTGTTGTTGTAAAACTTAATAATGAGCGGAAATCTTGTGGACTGTGAAGCTATCTGGACCGATCACCGAATTTTCAGCATACTCAGTAAACAGTCACGCATGATCACGAAAACTCTTCCTATCCGCTCACGGAATTTATTCATTGCTCTATCAAGAATAAAAGTATTTCGAACGAACCCTCCATGGCTAACACATCAACCTATATGGGAATAGTCTATACCGAAGGCTCGATATGTCGCACTTCTGGATACTTAATCACTTGATCGCTGACCGATGTACCGGTTGGTCATTGACCATCTAACATACAACGTCCCATTCAACCGATGATGTTTGACCCAGTGTGACGCATACATGACACCGTTCACCGATTGAATAACTCTAGTGATGAAGGCATACACACGACAGTCAAAGACAGTATTATTTGCCATGACAACGTACAAGCGTCTGTCCATCAGAGAGAGGCAGAATGCGTTAGAAGTGCTGAATCCGCCGTGTGCGATTCCGCGCAAAATCACCTGATATTTCGAGGATAATCCACGATGTCCCTGCAGTATGGATGACAAATATCTACCCTGTAGTTTTATCCCTAACAAATGCATGCATAACTTCTGAGTCATTCCAAGTTGGTTAGCTGATATAACTTGCAACAGGGTTTCTTTCTTGAGAATGCTCTTTTTCACTATTTATAGATATCGCCCATTACCATAATAAAGTCGCAGCATTCTCCAAGTCCGAATGAGCATGGTTGCCTCCAAACTGTTTATCAATGTTACAAGCAATAGACCGAGGTGTGATTTGGTCTTTCAATGTTCTTTTCGGAAGTATTCACTGGAATATGGTTTGTCATTGTCAGGAGATCAGCGATACCACATGCATGCCTAAATGGACCTTCTCATTGTCAAACAAGCTTGGATGTCTTTGCTTCCGCACGTACTAATAATAAAAGTTGGGTTTAAAGTCATATTAAACTAACAAAAATATAGTCACCTGAGGATAAGTGCGATCTGACAGAGAATTGTAAGCGTTATGTGCCTATTTATGAATGCCTTTTGAATAAGAAGTCGTCAGTTTAGAAGTTGATGAAGAAATGAGTTGTATTAAGTGGGTTCTGTTTTTAGATAATTTTTCCCCAAACCAACAGTAGCGTTGCAAATGTTAATAGGAAGCAATAAATGTATCAAAAATTATCTGTGTCAGAAAAGCCCAGAAGTTACTGGATACCGCTCTGAATGGGGATTGAATTTCAGGTGGATCGCTCGGGTGTACAATCATTGGGTTTGTTGATCGTAAACAGAGGTTACAAATGCATCAAACGATGATTTGTGGATCTGCTACAAATAAATCTTTGTGGTTTGTACAGTTATTTTCGACAAAACTTTGGGACAGTCGAATATTTCTATAATCAGCTTTTGTGGTGATTTATGTTACAGTGGTGACCAAGGTCACGGTCAGGTTCAAAGCCGACAGAGAACTCTCGCTGATGAAAGCGAAATTCAGTTAATCTGCTCTGTCGTACTGTCGTAGTTGTGCAAACGTGTGAACAATATTCACGATTCAGCAAGCCGGTAAGTGCGCTGTGGAGTAAAGTGTTCGATCTCGAATTAATCGATAACCGCGGCTGTACTACCACGCCTGTGCTAATGGATAAACGATAATCGCAGTTGCACTTGATAGGGTACAGACGCAACTTACCTCATCCCACTACACATAATCGTTCATTACCGTTCGTTAACCCTCTCAAATTATACATTTGTTTGTTTTCGAATAAATGAGTTCATTTTAACTGGGCAGGGTTTAGGCTAACACAATCTAACCGCATTTCTGATCGCCGTTTGGGTCTATGAAGTTTCACTTCTGATGAGACCCAACCAGTTCGAAACAGTGCTTCCTAGCTTTCAAGTTGACGCTTCATTTGCTGTATACACGACGCATTTCCCCTTTGAAATTTAGTCAAATCCTCCATTACTGACATGAAAGAAGTATTCAGGTTGTGAATGTTTTCAACCGAGTCATATCTCTGGAAACTGTGGCTGAAATGAGCGAGGTCTGTGGTCTGCAACAAGCTCGCAAAGATGGGTTGTGCTATATCGTGTAAATGGAAAATGTAAAACGGCCTGATCAGCTGTCCGGCGGCCGAGTTAGTAGCATACTTGGGTTCTGTCTGTGAGATTCCAAATTCAATACCTAGTTGGGTCAATGGATTCGCACGACCGAAACACCAATCAACTTGTATGGTTCCTAATGGACCGCGATTGTTTAGATTCATTTAAAGTTATGACGATTCACTCGAGGTTACAAAGGTTTCACCTGAAGAGGAAAAGGTATATTTTCCCAACAGACAATCAAAGATGCTATTTGAGTAATTTGCCGAACGAAGATGACAGTTTGACTGTTCTTCCTCCTCCCGTCCCACCTGGGTATGTTGTCTTTGGTCATTGATCGTGTGAACTTTAGACGCGAATGGACAAACCCAGCTTTTGATACACGCAGTTCATTCGGCCATGTGTGACCGCAAAAGGAACAATCACTTTGCTGGGTGTAATGCGATTGGTTGGACTCATTCGACATTGCAATCGATTCACTTTAAGTTACAATGGATTCACTTGAGGATACAATTTATTCACTTCAAGTTGAAAAGCTATAGTGACTTTGGCCTATTGTTACCCGAAAGTCCCGGGTTTGAACCGCTCCACCGCCGCCCGTCTTCCCAACTTCTGTATTTCTCCAGGCAGCATTTTTACCGCGGCAGTACTCATCCTGATATTTGACTGGGCTTTTTCAATTCAATAAATAACAAAGGAAAAGACGTGTATTTTACTCTTCTCTCGATTTATTTTCGCAAATAACTGACACTTTGATCCCATGTGTCGAATACTGTGCTTACCTCTACTGAATATGCTTCCAAGTACCCTAAACAAAGCTATCATTTTAGACGGTGAATGTTTGGATTAGCCCATTTGGTTCTTCACCGGCATGGAATGCGCAAGTCCAAACATTCACCATCTAAATTGATTGATCAATTCGCACAAGGTGATTACCGTCGACTGTGTACCTCAGGGATAAGGGTGTGAAGTCCCAGCCCGAAGAATCACAATTGAGTCCTGACCGGGACACAAAAAGTACGCACTGCTGATGAGTCCCGAACAGAACGAAACAGCTGTCTAGTGCTCCCTGTTGGTTACCACAAACATTTCCATCGCATTTGAACGCTGTCATTCCTTGTCGAAATAGTCTCATAGAGCATAAAACAACAAACAACAAAACAACAGTGTGGCGAACCCAGGGGAGATGGAGGGCTTAAATGAGACATTCGGGTCAAACGTTT